GGATGGCTTTCAATGCTTTCCGATCCACTCTATCGTATCCCCCTTGCCAATCGAGCGCCACCAAACCTCCCCCCCCTCCCCCCCTTTTTGCCTCCACGAAATCCCTAAGTAACCCATGCCCCTCCACCAATAGACCCCCCTTGGCAAACCAAACTGAGTTTTTGATACTACCCACCCCACCACACACTTGACCCGATTTCCCAAAATCTTAGCAAACAATTTGTAATCTGCGCATTACAACGAGATCGCCCGGTAACCCCGAAGCTATGCTCCCCCTTTACCCTTTGGTACCAATACAAACGACAGCCGTTGCCTGCTTCTAAACCCAGCTCACCTCTCTCCTTCATGAAATTTAATAACCTAACCAAAAAATGCCTCTTTAAAATTCCAATGCTGCTGATAAAACTCGCCGGAGTCCATCAATTCCCGGTGCTTTCCCCTTTTCGCATTCCACTTAAAGCCCTCCATATTCCCCCTCAGTTATTTCCCCCCCCAGTGCTTCCCTATCACTGTTACGCAATGACATACCACACTCCCACACACCTGTTTAAACCCCATCCTCTACCCCTTTCGTTGCCAGTACTTCTCATACCACTTATCAGAAAACCCGCCCCCATTCCTTCCTAGCTTGTATGACCTGCCCTCCCTGTACCCTCCTATCGACTCATGAACCTCCAACCATGGAATAGTCATTACCTGCTGTCTTTGTTTCTGCCTACGCAATACGCACGATGAAGGTCTATCGCCCCATAACACCTTTTCCCACCCCCGCCTTACCCGCACCGCTTGGAACCTCTCATCCTGCACCTCACGCAGCCTCCCTTTAATTGCCATAATATCCATTGGATAAGTGCCCGCCACCGCCCCCCTCGCATAACAACCCCGTAACCTATCCTCCAAATAGTTAGCAAGCCCATATTTTAAAGAATTGATACGCTTCCCTTCCTTTACGTAATATTGCTTAATCTTTTTCTTTAGCCACACCATCCACCACATCACCACATCCTCTCCCCCAAATTTACCTCTGCACGTAACCCTCCCACAGCGTTGCAATCCCTCTATCCCTCCTCATCACCTAACACACTTTATTTAACTTCCAATAACCCCTAGATATACCTGCTAGTGACTCCCACGCCACCTCTGCAAATACCGCCCGATGATTTCCGAATAAGCTACTTCTATTGTAAAGGAAAAATGTCAACCAAACCCCTTGAGATATTACAGCCTATCCAACCTAGCCGCGTAACCCCGTCTTACAAAAGTGTGCCTACCTCCCACGCCCCTCCTCCAACTGCATCCCCAACTGAAAATCCCTCAAAGATCTCGCAAGGCCGCCGACACGTGCCCCGCCCCTTTTGGTTCCACGTCAGCCCTCCTAATAACGCAGTTTCATCCCCACCTACGATGGCCACCGCAGGTAAACCACTAAGAAGAAAACTAGTTCTTCACATACAAAATCCCTTTTACCCATCACATCATTTTCTGCTGGTGCATACACACTTACAAAAATACCCTCTGGCCCCATTTCCCCCACCCATCCACGCGCAATACTCTTCCCCCCCCTCCCCTCACTTCTTACAACACAAACGGGCTCGCCTCCCTGATCAATATACCCACACCACCTTTCACGCGTACAGATGGCAGAGTCATGACCCGAAACCCTTCCACCTCGGGCACTCTTCCTCCTTGAAATTGTGTTCTTGCAGGAACACTACCCTCCACCCTATATTTATAAGAAACATTCGAAACCATTCCCTCTTCACACTATTAACAGTCCAAATTTTCGTTCACAGTCATAACACCTAAGGGCCCCTTTATAGTTTCCAACCCTTCCTCCTAGCTTCATTCATCCCAGGGCCTCCTGCCCCAGAGCCAGCACAAGGCTTCACACCATCAACCCCCTCCCCCCCCTTTTTGCGATGCCTCTTATCGTGACTACCTCGACAGTGCTCTTCCTTCCTCCCAGACCTCTGCGCCGGCGTCAGGACATCATCTGAGTCTGACGCCGCCGCTCTCTTCCTCGTGATGCCCTCCACATCCATGTTATCTGATGAGGTTCCCTCACGATGTACCTCAACCTCCACCACGCCTCGTTCCACAGCACACGGCGACAACTCACGCTTACTAGTTGGCCCGTTAACCCTGCTATGGTTTTTATCATTACATTCCTCTACAGGCAACGCCGTGCCTCTCACCAGCTCAGGACAACGTCCTCTGCAGGCGGCGTCATGTCCTTAACACTTCCTGAAGCTCTTCCTCTATAGCCTGCACCTCCTCCTGCACTTGCACTTCTGTACTTTTCCCTTGCTTTGTAACAGATCCTTTTACGTCACAGCTTTCCTCACAACGCCAGTCTCCTCTTTGGAATCCTCACCTCTTCACTCCACAAGCGCCCAAGCCCTTGCTTTCCGTTTGGGGGTCTCAAAAAACACTATCACGCTGGTAACTGGTCTTCACCAGTTGTGCAGGCCCCTCCTCAGCTTCACACACGCTGCCGCCATATGGTCGTACGCCCCACATATTCTGCACGTACGTCTCTGTCCGGCATACGATACCATAACTTGCGTCCTGAAGTCCTCCAACACGACATAAGACGGTATGGAATGTTCAGAGTCATCTTCAGGGAAAGGTTCCCTCCAGACGGCCCCTTGTAAGCACCTGCCGTCCACTTGCCTTGTTGTGCCAGATTACGGTCCCATATGCCTCAAAAACATTCCTGATGTCAGCCTCATCTGCCTCAAATGGGACAATACGAATCTTAACCCACGTTTAAAATGGCGAGATACCTCGATCAAAAGCACCTTCACCCGCTGGAGTACTGGGCAAGACTCAAAGTCTTGGAAAACTCGTCACCAAAGACTCATATACGGGCGTGGAATTCAGTTTGACGAAGATTCTGTAAGCCCCATTCAGGGATACACCATACACCTCATCGTCTTGGATTCCATAGGTCTCCCTAATGATTGTTGGGAGTAATACCTGCGCTGAAGAGGGTGAAATCGCCCCACGAAGCAGCTCAATACCAATGGTATTTACGCGTCTCCTCACACTCAGCGCCATGTTGATACAAGGTAGCTCGCCTGAAAACAGCAGAGGGGTGCAGAGCACAACCGCACTCGACCGTGGTCAGGCAGCGAATGTCTAAAATTTGAATTGTGGTGATACAACCAAGTAGTGACAGGATTTTCAGAACATGGGACGAACACCGCCACCCAGGATAACCAACACCATTTCTTCTATAACATCATCAGAAGACCATCCTGGGAATAAGATTCTCATGTCCCAACATCCTACTGGAACCACAGCGCCCAATATTTATTTTAGTTATTTTTAATTAAAATCCTTAGAAAAATATCATAATTATTATCCATCAAGTTATTCATTTGTTATTTTTCCTTTCTTTTGTTCAGTAGGAAGGCGTTCCCCTGACACTGGTAGCACAGAAGACCAGTACAGAAACACAGAAGAACAAATATAGTTCAGTAACAGAGAAGACCAGTACAGTAACACAGAAGAATGGGTACAGTAACAGAGACGACCAGTACAGAAAATTAAAACAAAAGAACGGTAGAGTACAGTACAGAAATACAGTACAGTAGCAAAGAAAAAAATGTACAGCAACAGAGAAGAACATTACGGGGATATCTTTCTGGGATCACCCATGATTATAATTACATCAGTCTTACATTCACTGCCTCTGCTGCTGCCTCTATTTGAAACTGAAGAAGCCTACTGTGTAGGCGAAACGTTTTTGATTGAAGACACCTAACTGTTGGGTCTCACTCCAGCAACACCCACGGTATTGTCCCGGCCCGGGTCTTTTCCAGATGACCTACGTTATGTTAGAGTACCAGACATATGTACCCAGGAGACCTGCCATCTACGACTCTAGTTGTTGCAATGTTATCTCTGTTATGTTAATCAACAATATGAACAATATTTTTATTAATGTTATTTTTTATTTTTATTAATGTTAACTCCGGTGAATGAACAAAATAAGAACACTACCGTGGCTCCTATGAGAGTGGCTGGAGTGGAAATAATAAACCCCCCTGGTAGACGCTTTTAATCCAAATTAGCAAATCTTGAAATATAATAACATTAATAATTTGCGACCACTGTCAGCCTCAGAGTTATCTCTGAGTTACCAGACCTTGCCACGTGGAGGCCAGTGGTCGTCTTTAAGGGCCGCCCCCCCCCTGCCTTCCCCAGGGTTTAAGTTGTCCAGGAATCCATCCGTGGGCCCCCGGATGTCTCCCCTTCCTCACTTCCCTAAGGTCAGCCTCGCCTCTCTCTCTCTGCCTTCCAGCCTCAGCCTTCCCTAGGGTTATGTATCCAGGAATTCATCCGTCCGCTGCCGGATGTTTCCCCTTTCTCACTTCCCCAAGGTCAGCCTCACCAACCTGTATTCATGCCTACCCCAGGTTCATGTATCCAGGAATCCATCCGTCTACCGCCAGATGTCTTCCCTTCCCCACTTCCCCAAGGTCAGCCTCAACTGCTGGTATTCTTGCTTTCCGGAGGTTCATGTATCCAGGAATCCATCCGCTCGCTCCCAGATGTCTCCCCTTCCCCATTTACCCAAGGTTAGCCTCAACAACAACCTTCCCCAAGTTTATGTATCCAGGAATCCATCCGCTCGCTCCCGGATGTCTTCCCTTCCCCACTTACCTAAGGTCAGCGAGTTAGGTCAGTGCCTTCCCCGATCAGTGTCTCCAGGAGTCCACTTGGTGTCACCTCAGGTGGAAATCCCTTCTCCACTTCCCCAAAGTCAGCGGTATTCTTGCTTTACCCAGGTTCATGTATCCAGGAATCGATCCGTCTACCGCCGGATGTCTTCCCTTCCCCACTTCCCCAAGGTCAGCCTCAACTGCTGGTATTCTTGCTTTCCGGAGGTTCATGTATCCAGGAATCCATCCGCTCGCTCCCAGATGTCTCCCCTTCCCCATTTACCCAAGGTTAGCCTCAACAACAACCTTCCCCAAGTTTATGTATCCAGGAATCCATCCGCTCGCTCCCGGATGTCTTCCCTTCCCCACTTACCTAAGGTCAGCGAGTTAGGTCAGTGCCTTCCCCGGATCAGTGTCTCCAGGAGTCCACTTGGTGTCACCTCAGGTGGAAATCCCTTCTCCACTTCCCCAAAGTCAGCGGTATTCTTGCTTTACCCAGGTTCATGTATCCAGGAATCGATCCGTCTACCGCCGGATGTCTTCCCTTCCCCACTTCCCCAAGGTCAGCCTCAACTGCTGGTATTCTTGCTTTCCGGAGGTTCATGTATCCAGGAATCCATCCGCTCGCTCCCAGATGTCTCCCCTTCCCCATTTACCCAAGGTTAGCCTCAACAACAACCTTCCCCAAGTTTATGTATCCAGGTATCCCTCCGCTCGGCTCCCGGGTGTCTTCCCTTCCCCACTTACCTAAGGTCAGCGAGTTAGGTCATTTCCTTCCCCCGGGTCAGTGTCCCAGGAGTCCACTTGGTTCACCTCAGGTGGAAATCCCTTCTCCACTTCCCCAAAGTCAGCGGTATTCTGCTTTACCCAGGTTCATGTATCCAGGAATCGATCCGTCCCACCGCCGGATGTCTTCCCCTTCCCACTTTCCCCCAAAGGGCAGCCTCAACTGCTGGTATTTATGCCTTTACCAGGTTTAAAGTATCCAGGAAAACCATCCGTTCGCTCCCGGATGTCTCCCCTTCCCCCCCCTTACCAAGGTCAGCCTCAACAAAAACCTTCCCCAAGCTCATGTATCCAGGAATCCATCCTTCGCTCCCGGATGTTTCCCTTCCCCACTTACCTAAAGGTCGGCGGTGCCTTCCCCGGATCAGTGTCTCCAGGAATCCACTTGTGTCACTGAGTGGACTCCCTTCTCCCACTTCCCCAGAGTCAGCGGTTGCCACCCTCATGACCTTGCTGAAGGGAAAATTGGGCTTGTCTACTGTCTAAAGGTAGAGACTGCCGGTAGTGGAATTCTGAGGGGACCACAGTAAACTGTGTCAGTAATTACATCCACCAAGACAGCCCTGGAACCGTAACCAGCTGCGAAAACGAAGCTCGAAAACAGCCTTTGCCACCTCGGGGCTAATTAATTACAATTTTGGAATCCTCTTTTGGTTTCACTATGAATTTATACTGAGAACAATTTTTTTTAACTTTTTTAGCAGTTTAAATGTGTTTGTGAGCGACATTCTATGTGAATATGTAATATAAAGTGAACACGTTGAGGGCACTAGTGGAGGACTTGTTTTCGACTTTTGTAACATGTATTTTGTATAATGATGTAAACTACGTGTTATTGTAATTGGGTCAAATGACCTGTCTTTTGTGTCTACGAATGTCCCTGGTACAGTTAAATTATGATGAAAAAGTATCAAATTCAAAATCTCTAAATTATCCTCTATGAAAACTATAACAAATTTATAACAATAGCATTTCTGGTGTTCGTAAAGATTTGAAGGTCGGATATACATACATCGCGCACACATAAATTTTGTGTGTATATTACAGAGTTTACATAAGTTATAAGCTGTGTTACAGTGGCACTGGTCTACATGATGGCTTACTCTTATTTTTAACTGTCTTTGAGCAAAGTACAATGACATCACAGTCTTTTAAAACCACAGGTTCATACACACAACTTATTATAAAGGTGAAATCACCGTCTTTTGCAATAGAACTTAATTTTTAACAATGTAAAACATTTCAAGTTTTACATTTTACTTATATATTTTATTCAAACCTATTTTGTGTTTTTCCAAAATGTTTTCCTGGGTTTTATGTTTAACTTATCAAATAATTTTTCCTTTAAAAACACTCAAATGTAATTCATTTAACTTTTTTTTTCACTATTATCCACAATTTTTTAAAAGCTTTTTTCTACGTTATTCCTATAATTATTACATTCTATTAATCCCTTTTTTTATAAACATTATACAAATTTTTGTATCCATATTTATTCTTTCACAAATTTAATTTATCCATTTTAAATTTACCCGTTTTAACTTTATTGGCTCATCTTATTTCTGATATAACTGTTACAGCAAAGTCACCCCGCTGACATCAACGTCCTAAGGACCACTAAGTAACCAGGGAAAAGCAGATCACCAGGCTGACACTTCCCCAACTGTCCTTCTTTTTTGAATATAGAGTACTTAAAAGTTTCTTTTGAATTTTACTTCTACACTTTCTTTACACATCACATCACACAACCTATAGCACTAACATCAGAGTTTTTAAGAACACACTCTCCCACGACTGTTAAAAAGGTCCCTAAATACTTTTAAGAAATTTTGATTGTTAATAATTTTCTTTAAACTAATAGGTTACAAATTTTAGATCAAAAAGGATAAAGTAAAAATTAATTCGAACATAAAAAGATTTTTTAAATTTTTTAACTTATTAATTAATAAATTTAAATTAACTCATGTTCTTCATAAACCAATCTAAAGAATTAAAACATTACCAAATATGATAAAAAAAAACCTATTAAAAAAAAACAAACCCGGAATGATGTCCAACTTTATAAAATTTTTTGCACAAAGGATACATTGTTTAAGACCCCAGTTGGGGAAATTACATCTTCAAATTTGGATTAAATTTTCTCTTAATCTAATTGCCCTTATAAAATTTAATATCAAAATTATGCAATTTTTACAAATTTTTCATTTCCCCTTAGATATTAATTTCAAAGTTTTCCTTTTTTTCAATTGATTATGAAAAAATCACCAAAAGGACCCCCTTTAAAAAAAAAACCTTTAAATCCCAAAACCCCCTATTTTAAAAAAAATTTTTTGCCCCCTTTTTTTAAAAAAAATGGGAAATTTGCAGATCCCCT